GGCTAGCAGGCAGCCACAGGGAGTTAGTAGGGGTGTTATAATTAGAGAGAGGTTTCTCAGTGTTCATAACCCACTGCATGTATATGTTTATATATATGCTTCCCTACATTGCTCAATATTTTTATACATAATTGAGACTAAGATATAAGAGAATGTCTTCCAAATATGTTTCAGATTAGCAGTTGACACGAGTTACAGAAAACTGTAGTTGACATGAGTTACAGAAAACTGTAAGCAGAATAGAAGCGTACGTTCATGTTTAATCACAAAGCTTTTAAGGTGTACATATGAAAAATGACCACATCCTTACTTGAGAATTATTTCCTGCAACTCCACAGAGCAGAGCCCCGTAGCAGTTAATTCGGCATGGGCTGACTCCTGCTCTCCACCTGCAGCCTGACTGACCGAACAGGACTACTGCACCGACCTGCCATGCTTATTTAGGAGCTTGATCAATCAGCAGTTGGTAAATTAAGGAGATAAACATTTGCTTAAAGGGATTCACACATGGAAAGCATCCCTCAGCTCGCACTTCAGCTGCTGAGATGTGCAGAAGCAGGGAGGACAGCCAAGCCAGAGCGCAGCACAGAAGAGGGAGGGCAAAGCTCCCTATTACCTCACCACAGCAGAAGGCATTTAACTTGCACTGGCCACTACTACGGCTTTAAAGTTGATAAATGAAATGAGAAACATCATCTTGCTCATTACCCAGCCAGGTGACATTTCAACAAGCTACTCACGCATCAGCTTCTGCAGGCATTTTAAAATGGGGATCTGTAATGCTCTCCGCTAAAAATGACTGACTTTTAAAGCAATCACCTCTGCTAATTAAGCCAAGCAGGTGATTTTGCCAGGTACCACTGAGCAGAAGAGCTAACTCGGCCATCACAGCTCCTGGGAAGGTCTGCGGGCTGCCTCTTTCCTCTGCTGCACTGAATGTACCAATCCAAAGTGTTTTACACGTCTTGCTGAAATAATGCTTTTTTTGTTTGTGTAAATAGATTATTTACAGCCAGCCAGGTGAAATTCCTCCTCTCCCTCACATACCACTTCAAAGCCTAACACGGGAGATCGAGTGCAGCTAGCCTAGCCCAGTTTTTCCTGGCAACAGGAAAACTTCACATCAATCACACTTTGTGAAGTTTCCTCCATTAGTCTCATCTCGTTTAAGAATAAATGCTTATAATAGCACTGAAATTATGTTTGAGAGACCACATTGAGAGGCTCGGTTTATATTTTTTTGCAAGCAAGGAACATAATTTCACCTGGCCACATCTGGATGCAGTGGGGGGCCAATGACGGGTGGGGGCTGTGGCCGTACAGCCAGGCAGGCGGTGCCACGCACCCAAAAAATCCTCAAACAGAGAGGAAAGCATTTATTTATCTAATCCAAGCTTTATAAAACTGAAAATAGAATTAGAAGCTGTTATTTCTAAAACTGGGTTTATGTTGCCACAGCAGTTATAAAGAGCAGACAAATGCACCACCACAGTACAAAGGGTAGAGATAATTTTCACAGATACTGACTATGAAAAGAAAGGGCTATAAAAGGACGATGCCAAAGGGCAACAATCAGCATCACATGAGCAGAACGCAAAGTATTTGCTGAGAAATTACACACCCTTTCCATACCCTTCCCTGTAATGTCTTTACTTCTTTCTGACAAAACCCAACCAAAACACAGTAACTGATGACAAAGAATTGCTCCACATGCTCTAAACCAAGGACCAAGGTGAAAATGATCTTATTTTGTAATCTTTATCTTCAGAGTTTTTCATCAGCTGATGAAAACTAAAAATATACCTGCGACTAAAGCACAGTATCTACCTTCAGACGCTATGCCCACACACATTCTTCAATCTTTGACAGAAAACTACCTCGCCTAGGTTATTTAAGGAGACATTAACTCACATTTTCTATCCGACTCAGCTAAAACTGCAGCTCCAGTGAGCCAAGGGAAGGAGGGGAACAGGGCAGAGTGGAGGAAAGGAGCTGTTCATCTTGCTCAGAAGGAATTTTTCTAAATGAGAGAGAGACAAGACGTGAGCACTGTGAACACAGTGATCCTGCACAAATCTGCCTGGGATTGCTTATTTTCTTTACCTCCAGTTCTTACGGCACCAAGTTCACAAGCAGAGGTGTTCTCAGCTGCTACACCTAAAGAGCAGAGGACATCTGTTTCTTCGCATCCTTCACATGAAAGGACACACTGTGTGCAACGGCGTGTTTAAGCCGAAGCACAGAAATCAAGAGGTTGCTCTGCGGATGGCACCGCTATCCCCAAACCCGGCCACAAGGAAAGTGCAGCCCAGCACAGATACGCCAGCAGTCCCCAGCTCCATCCAGCACCAGCTTTTATCATCCCCAACACACACGTTCTTCCGACAAAAAGCTTCACCACCTCCTAAACCAAAGGCGGTATAAAAACACAGAGATTTTAGTAACAACACAATGTTAGACATATTCGCTTTCTTTTATGGTAACATCCTCGTCCCAATATACTATGGAGTGAGCCACTCGAGTAACTAAACCACTTCTCGTTTTCCCAGCCAGATGCTAACTCACATAATTACCATGAGATGCCACAACTGTAGAATAAGGGAAAATAAAAGCAGCGTCAGTAGCGTCAACTGAGAACTCATCACACGAAAGCAAACCAGGTAACTGCTGCCATCACCCATTTACCCCAGAACACTTTTATTTGAAAGTAATTTGCTACTCTCAATTTTAATGAGGATGGTGACATATTAATTTCTTGGCTGCCAAGATGTAAATTTTTAAAATAAATACATAAATGAAAAGCCACCCAAAAGAGTCCCCATGAGACTATAACCAAACCTCCAAACTGCCGGGGAAGTGGTGACCATCCTTAGTTTCATTATCAGCAACTTTTTAAAAATACGACCAAGATCTGGACGCTTCCAAACAAGTCCCACAGCGCTGAAGCACCAAGAGCTGCTGGAATCAACCCTCTCCCCCTACAGCCACCTCGACTTCAGCAGCACACCAAGCAGTACAAGGGCCTAGGTACCCTTTTATTAATCCAGAAAACTTAAGCACAGATTACTAGTGTCCTAAGGCTAAAGACAGCTGTCTTTGAAGTTTATTTGAGTTAACTTTTAACAATTTTATGTCCAGCTTCAGTAAGGAGTTTATCCCTTCCTCTCTGTCACCTAAGCTGATGAGCAAAGTTTA